CATCCTCTTCTTTTCTTTGGTCTCTACTGGTGACACTCCTGTGTCAATGCACTCCAGTGGCTGGCAGTCCATCTGTGTGGTGGTTGTGACATCTAGCCCCTTTCATGGCAGCCATGGTTATACTGTGGTGGCTGTGGTGGGCCACCCACATGGAGGTGACGTTTTTGGCATGCTCCTTGGTGCTGGTGGTGTGCCTGGACCCCAACTCCATGTAATTATGTTTTTTAATAAACCAAGTTAAATAATATTTTCAAGATTTTTTGGATTCTAAGCCTTAGACTTACTACTAGGTTAAGTTAATACATATTCCTTAATTAATATCAAATCTAATATCTAGGTCATTTCTAAAAAAAGATAAAACATTAAGGCACACTTTTAAATGTATATACTTTTTTGTCTCTTATTTTCATGTTTTAAAGAAGTTGTATATACTTGGGTCTGTTAATAAACAGTTAATAAACAATAATAAACAGCTTATAAACTTAATAAATAGAAGTTGTATATACTTGGGTCTGTGTACTACCTTAAAAAGATATACTATAAAGAAGTATATGGCTATAAAAAGTATAAAATGTACATTCATAAGCTTTCTAATCTACTACAAAATGTTGATATATAACAGTTTACAATTATCCACCCCATAGTTTTCTCTATAAAATAAAAAAATCACTGTAATTAAAAATTACATATGTAATATATATGATTTTTTTAGGAAAAATAATGACAGTAGGCAGCTTCACATGAAAGATATGCCAGATAATATTTTGCTGAAACTATAGTTTTGGCTCCTCCCTAGTGCCAGCTCCACCCTGTTCCCAGCGACCCACACTGTGCCCATTCCCCACCACCCACAGAGTCCTGCCCCTGCCTCAGAGGGCAATGTTCAGGGGAAAGAAAGTCTAGGGGGCAGCCATCCGAAGGTTAGCACTCCTTATCTGGGGTTTGTGGGATTACTCTTGTAATCTTTGTGCTTATTTGTAGTTTTCATTTTCCCCCCACTGTTTCTGAAATTCTTGAGTAATTTTGAATAAAGGAAAAGTAGGAGAAAACGCTAAAAAACAAAAAGAAAACAAAACAGAACAAAAAAACTACAGTTTTGTCTTAAAATAAAATGACTAATCATTCCAAAAAATGTCTAAGATGAAACCGAAATAAATACATAAATAAACGAAAGACTCTTGTGGTCAATGCTAAGTAACATTTAAAGGGCTTATTTATAAGATTTTCAAAAAATTAGTATTAAATATGATACCTATGCAAAACTAAAACTCGATGTTTTCTCTCTCTGTTAAAAATGACAAAATTTTCCTGGATTCTTGGTCTGCTATTAATAAGATACTATAAAATAAAATTTTCTTTGTCTTCTGTTTGATTTGCCTAAAAGGCAAACATTCTGTATCTTATCAGAATATTTTCCTGTGCTTTATGTCAACTTTACCAAACCCTAAATACTAAAAACAGAATAAAACAAAAAATCTGAAGTCTGCTCACGGTTATATTATAAAATCAAAGCTCAACTATGGGTTTTGTGAGAAAGACACAAGTCTAAGTAATAAAGAAAAATTGACAATAAATATTAGCAAGGATATCAGGCAAATGTGATGAAATATAAGAGTGGTAATATTGCTATCAGATTCGGTAAAATCTGTGCTAAAAAAAGTGGTAAGTAG